TTCTCGGAATTATTGAGTTGTCCCTTTCTGTTGTGTATCGGCTCTTGTGATATTACCTGAAGTGATAGATATGTGATCTTTGTGGAGAACAGAACTTATCTGTATTTCGGTAGCTCCCGGTTGAACCCCCTAAGTACACTATAATCCAAAATTATGTAATTGCTTACCAATAGTTTATTCAGAGATCAGTCTCTCTATATTTCTCAATATTCTATATACCAATCCTTCAGCCCACTTCCTATTACAGCTGCTTTAGCTTTCCTCTGTGTCGAATCCACTGCACTTTTTAAATATCCTAAAAGAATGATGTTCCTCTCGTTTTCGGGTTTGTATTTGGAGGCAAAAAAATTGCAGGGAGTCATACCAGTGACCTCCAACATTGTATCTAGTTGCGTTCTCTTCCGAAAAGTGTGCGTATTGTTTGCTGCGGTTGGAGAAAATCAAACTCAGTCCCCTCCCTCTTTCATGCGTGAGCCGTACAGCAGAGTTCGGCCATTTGTTGTGATAAAACTGTGTGATGACCTCATCTATCAGGTGGTCTGTTTAAGGTTTCCCATCACAGATGGTTTTCAGTGACCGAATAAAAAAAGCAAAGTTGTAACCCGAGAAACTGTTCATCCTCGTTCGTATTTTACCTACTGTAGTGTTGGTTTTCCCATTCTGGAGATTTTCGTTTTTATTCTGATTTTGTGTGTGTGAATACTGTTGAGAAATACAAAAGTTGGTTGTCTGCTGTTTCTTTTGTCATTCAGTTGGAGCACTTGGAAACATGTGATTGTTTTCACTATTTATTGGAAACGCTTAGTTACTTGGTTCTTGTCACATTCCCAGTTCACATCTCAGTGAAACGGAGTTAAACTCGGCTTCATTTAGGAACAATCCGATTGTATGATCTAAAGTAATGCTTCAGTATACCATAGGTCGATATTCATATTTCAAATAGCTTTGTGCAATAATTGTTGCTTTTTAGTCCACCGGAGTATCGATTTTTCTATTGCGGATAATAACACCCTAGTTGCACATGCCGACACTTCATTTGTTTCTCCCGATTGAGTAATTTATGTTGGCTATAACCCGATTGAAACAAACCAGTTTGTCTTCTCACTATTTTTCAATACCAACGAATCTCATCTGATTTTATACCGTTTGTTGTTGTGGGATTGCATTTTAAAAATAAAAAGTGTTGGTAAAACGCTGATAATTGAGTCACTTCATCTGAACACTCAACTGTGCACACATCCCTCCTTCTGGTATTACGATCTCACTGTACTCTCGATTTCCGGAAGTGTAACAGAAACTGCTACATTGTTGAAGGATTCCGTCTACTATGCAAGTGACATTTGTATGACATATTTCTTGTGAGTCGTTCACAAATGTACGGCAATTTCTTAGTGAAACCAGTCGGAATATAAACCTTCAATGTCCTGTGAATAGACCGGGTGATGTAAACATGAGTGCTTTTTGGAATAATCTCAGTAACTCAAAAAAAATCAGTTAGACTATAAAAATTGTTTCTCGCGGTTCCGGCTGACTGAATTAATTTTCGCCTGCTCCTTGTATTTAAAAATGTGTTCCAAACATTTTCTCACCAGGCAAGATATTTTCTTTGTATGCGCTGTGGCCAGAACCACCGAATTACTCGTCCTGGTTGGTAATGAAATGTTTGCAAAGAACAGTTGTCCTTCTTGGCGAATAGGCGAAAGCGAAGTTGATCAGTGTAACGAGTCATCTTATGCCAATCGCGTTGCTCAACAAACACCTTGATCCTTCTTTAATCTGGGACAGATACGAGCCCTATCGTAGTACACAAGCACCCATTTTCACGCCTTGTCTTCTGGCCACGTATGCACTTAGGGATCTGTCATATATTTATGCTTCTTTTGCACTTAAATTGGACTAAAACTGCATTTGTTGTGTGAAGCACGTGGTTATTGCGCGACGTGATTGGGTTTTTCGGTCTCTAACACTTTGTCGTACCATCTTTTCTCACCCTATTTCCTCCCCATATCTGAACACTACATATCATGACATGCTCCATTGGTGTAGTTGTTTACTTTTATCTTTGTCTCTTTTGCTCCTATCATTAGACCATGAGCGTGGAGGAGATTATGCAGCAGGTACGTGAAATCTATGGAGATGACAGTTTGGCCATGCTGGAAGACGAAGATACAGATGCCGATCCAGACCTGATTCAAAACTCATTCGTTCCTCGGGTAAGTTCTTTATGTATATGATGAAATCACGTGATAATTTGATTCACTATGCATGCCTACACTAATATATTGGTTCGGATAGACTAATAAGAACAGTACATTTGTGTGTTCATTTCGTTCTATTAGGCTTCAATATTCAAGATAGTCGGTTTTTATTCTTGACCTCGATCAATCACACATGCCCACCTCTTTAGATGTTGATTATAGAAAACTGATGAATTATTAGTGTTGGTTTACTCCTTCCTCAACGTCTACCCTGAATACGCTATGAGACATGAGTCGAGGATTGAGCACTGTCCGTTTATCATTGTCCTCGTTTCCCGTAACTTTCCTCTACTAGGAATCGAATCCATAACGATGTCCAGTGTTACACTACCACCAATCTGATTAGCTTCCAAGTCCTCCTACCATGTTTAAATTTTTATTTGTGATAGCCGCATACTGATGCACTCACGACCACAGCTAATAAAGCGAATTCGCCCAGGCGTCCGCTGACAAGCGAATCTACCTGTGGGAACCGAGTGGGTCTGTCGGTGGTTCGATTCAGGCACTCACGTTCGAAATGAATAGGTGCATGTACTGTTGTGATGTGGCCGAAATTCGCTTGACTGCTCCCAACCTGTTTGTCACACAGTCGTGTGCAGAACACTTCTCATCATCTAATTGATTGAGTCACTTAGGGCCTACGTTTTCAGACGTTGTGTGGAACGGCGAATGAGTCGACCTTAGGGCTGTTTTCTAACTTCAGTTGGGTGTAGGAGTTCAAGCACGGAACCCATCTCCTCTTACTTTTAAACCTTTGTTGCTCGGAATCAGTTCTATGGGTGGTGAGCGAAAGTCGTAAAGATTGATCGAACACTTTTGGTGCTATTCGTTCAGGGGATTTTTTTGGTGGAACAGCCATATGGGTCAGTGTTGACTGCACTCCATTTGTCTTGGGTTAATCGCATGGCTCTTATCATTAAAGAAGAATGAACAGATCTGAGTGATTATGCGCTGTCATGGGGTAACTACTTCCCACCTTAAAAGTCATTTCCTTCGGGGGTTTTCGATCACGCACGAAGCTGTCAAAGTAGTTAAAAAAGTTTGCAGTTTGAACGGTCTCTTTTATGTGATGTGTGCGATACACGTTGAAGAAATACGACACAAACGATTACAGGGAAGACGTAGTTGCTCTGTAATATAGGTTGTGCATTGCCTCGGTTTCCCAAAAATGTCTTATACTGATGAACGATGAAGGATGCTGGATTCGAAGGACGTTGCTACTTCCCATGAATGTCTCTTCATTGAATCGATTGAAAAAGTTCTATACCGAGCACTTTTGTCGTCCTTTTTGAAAACATCATGAACAAAATCTTTTAACATTATTCATACTGTACAGTGCGACGGACGTCCTCAAAAGAAGTGATGATATTCTCCAGTTTCAGCTTGCCCTTGAGGGTTTCGGAAACACTCGTGCAGTAATCTTCTGGAATCTGTCCACGAGGCGTAGTAGATCTATCAGATTGAAGAGCTTTTACAATTTGATTATACAGCCAGTGGACACAAACGGCTTTGAATGTTGGAATATGCGGAAATGAACTCATGAGGAAGCCGATTACAGAACTTTTGCTCAATGGTTTTGCTGATAATCGCATCACATCGAGAAGGCGCCGTTACCCATTCAAGCCTGATCGTGCATGCATGATCATTCTTACACCTGTTGTGTCGGCATTGTTGCGTTTTTTTATTGCACAGCAGACTGGGCGAACCCCATAGTCACGAGGACCAGCTCCTCAGTGGTGGAAACCGGCAAACTAAGCCTCGAGACTTGGAGTGGCTAACCGCATGAGGCCCCGATCGGTTAGGCGTGATATTGAACCGGACGGCAGCGGAACTGCCTACCACCAAAGTGGAGTGGTAGTGGTGGGGCTCGAACCTCGGACTATAGAGTCCAAAGCACCCCGGTGACAGTGAATAAACCACTGCGCCACCACCACCCGAAACGCCGTTATTGAAATGAAGTGAAACTTTTTACTGGGTTTAGTCGGTTATTTTTCATCTGTAATACGAGGCTCCTATAGTTCATTGTTCATGCTTCTCTGGTAAACATCACGTGTGTATTGTAGTGGTTGCTGACCTGCATTTATTTCGTGTGTATCTAACCAGGCTGTTAGCACTTACAGACTAAGGTCAGGGCTCATTTAGGAGTGTATATACTCTTGCTGTTCTAGCGTTTTGTTTGTTATGGTCTTGTCTTAAACCGTGAAAAGGGTTGTGCTGATTTGTATATGGTGAACGTGATGAGCGTCGTATTTACGTTCATCTAATTGTTTCCGATCTCTCGTCTCAATCATTAGATGACATAATTTACTCATTGGAAACAAAACAGGGAGCGGCGAACAAACTCGCTTTGGCGGGTCGGAATACGGGAGAGTTCACTCCGCGGCTAGACGGGGTCGGCACCACCTTCAGACCGGGTGTGAGATTTACAATGATGATAGTAATAGTAAAATGATTATCTTTTTACTCACTTGATTATTTAGTATGCATAAAATCATATACTCAATTCTCAGGCTGAAGGTTGCAATCATTTCAATGCTATCTGGATACTTAAGGTATGTTCGTACGTAATATGGGGTTGCATGGGGAAAACTATGAAGCACGCGTGTAAAACTGTATTTTTCCGGCTAGCAGTGACCTAATCGTTTCGGTGTTTAGTCGCATAGATCTTTGAGCTTCATTTGCGGTGTACCGCTCGAGAAAAGATCTTCATTTGATCGTAGCTCCCAATAATCTTTAATAGGCATTTTCTATCTCACTAAACACTTTTTTGACTAGTGATATCTATTGCGAACTATTGGCCCGGAGACGAATAGATTGAATAGCGTTTGTACACCACCTTTACATTTGCAATGTGCTCTCTGGGATTGCTAGTGTGATTTATCCATATCAATAACGGAACTAAATTTCACTGAATAACCGTTCAAATGACTAACGCGCATGTCGCGCTTCTCAACTTTCGTTCTAAGCGTTTTAAATTTTTCTGGAACATTTTCCTCACAGGTCCGAAATACCTCAGACTCATCGGACATCTGCCCTCCATTGGAGTCCGGTAATGGAGAATTGCAGCCCGCATCCACCGATGCCTGGCAGTCGGATCGCGGATTTAGTGATAACGGGTTCTCGGAACCACGTATTCGCAGTTCCACAGACGATGCGGACGATGATGAACATCGAACGGACGGCATACCAATAGAACGTCCTCGAAGTGCCCTAGAAAAACCTATCGGTCCCTCTTTGTCCGCTCCAGCTGAGTCCAAGATCTTACTAAACGACTCGCTTTCTTTAAACTTAGAAACCCCTTCCTATCTTCCCGGTCGACCTAATACCGGAGAAGGTGCTCACACAGAACCCGAGCTGGGTACAGTAGAATTGCGTGCGTCTAATCAGACAGTGAAACCAGAACGAAAAAAACGTTCTAAAAAGCGTCATGCTCGTTCGAAGGCTTCCGACTCTGATCCGAATTGTCCTGATTCATTGTCCGTCGCGAAACAAGATAAACCGCCATCAACGATCGCAGATGGTTCAGACTTTCCAGTCGAATGCTCCCCAAACCATGATCATCCCGGTCGAGTGTATGTAAATACAGAAGTGCCTCTGAGTGTGGACGCCTTGTTTGCTTGTATCTTCACCGATTCCGAGTTCTTCGACCGATTGAGCACATCTCGGGGAACGTTTGATATGGTGCAGTCTTCCTGGCCACAAATGACTTGGCCAACACAGAATCAAGAAGCATCGCGTTCTGAACCCCAAGAAAATGTGGAACGGACTATCTGCTACACACTTACTCTGAAACAACGTATGGGACCACGCACCTGTTCCGCAGTGGAACAACAAGTAAGGGTTTTCTGTAGAGAGTGGGTTCACTGAGTTCCAGTAGATAGGTAGGAAATTCCTTGTTTCCAACTCTTCCGCTGCATTAATCGTTTTCTTTTTTAACTTTTATTCAGTCGAACTCTAGTTGATTTCATCAATGTGTAGACCTACATCAAATAAGATGTTTTGCGCTTTTTCAATAAATGCCTGTAATCACACTGATTTCCTACCGATTAGACGTAATTCGTTCCTCATTGTCGAAGCTTTATAATCAGTCGCGTTTTTCATAGTGTTTTCCTGCGTAAACATATACTGACTGTTCTTTCTCCCCCCGCGCTCCACTTCCATCCTTCCTAAAAAGACCTTGTTGGTATCTGAATCACAACCGGGACGCAGTTATGTGGTTGATGCCAAAGTAACCAACCAAGCCGTGCCGTTGTGCAATTGCTTCTGTGTGGTCAGTCGTTATTGTCTACTGCGCACCGGCCGACTGACCAGCCGTTTACATGTTTGCTCCCATGTCGTGTATGAAAAACCGGTTTTCTTTGGGGCAAAAAGTATCATTGAGAACACTTGCAAGTCCGGCCTCACTGACTTTTTCACCGCGTTGACCGCACAACTAACCGAATTGTCTGCTGGGCTCAGTGATGAAGACCGATTAAGTGGAGGTTATCTGGCCGCACGCAGTACAAACGCTGCGATAAGTCACAATGGTATGGCCAAACGCGGAAGTAAGGTACGGGATAAATCCAAAGAGGAAAACAAACTTATCTCGGCTCGCGGNCGCTTGAATAGCTCCTCAGGTCGACATCCGCCCGTGGCGGGAGATCACAGAAAATCTGGTCATGCTATCGCTTTGTCCGGCAGTTCATCTTCCTCACCCGTCCACGGTGTACAAGGCAAACAATCGACCTTGGGTCCTGGTGGCAATTGCTCTTTCCTCTCACCCTCACATTCCAAACAGAGCGCCGATCTCATTCAATTTTTTCTGCGTCCTGATAGAGCTTGGCTCTTACTCGCGGTCATGTAAGCTTCATCTGTTTGCGTACTGCATTATTATACTATTTCATGTTCTTTTTATCAGTGTCCCTGTGTTTTTTATGTCAACTCGAGAGTAGCAAATTCTAAGTCATTACTTTATTTTTACTTCAATTCGGAGTCTACCGGAGGTGCTACCTTTGTTGGTTATCTCGATACTTACAAAAACTCATCCCATTTCTCAGTTTTTTGCTCCCTCAAGAATGTGTAATGGCTCTGTGTAGTATGGTTTTCGTCAACCACGTTCATTTTTCATAATATGCCGATAATTCACGTTGACAGGCTTGTTAGTGCTAAGCGATAACCCAGAGGTCGTGCGTAGATGAATTAAAGGTGATTGAAGTCACCCCGAAGAATCTTCGCCTCAGGCAATCCTAATTGTCCTCGGAGTATCATCATCTTACTCCGGAGACTTCGATTGCTGGGACAGATGCCAGCCAAAGACCGCCCTATGGTGTTATATTTGGGCAAGCCGACACAAACTGGATGCGGCGACGAGGTGGACAGCGAATAACCAGGGCTCGAGTGGTGAGTGCGTTAACCTCAAAACTGACAGCGGTAGGATGCTCTAGGCTCAGTTTGTGGACCCAAGGATGCTGAACATCTATGGCACTATCCGACGTGATTGTTAACCGGTATCCATGGCGCACTTGTTGCTAGACTCTTATACGTTGATCTGCATTTGAACCGTTTTCACATTTCTTTCTTCTTGTTGTGGCACGTTTGCCAACTCTATGTTATGGGTTACGTGTTGAATATAAAATCACCCCTACCACACATGCGATGTTCCCAATAATTCTTGCATGCATCTTGTAGGCCGTGATATAGTCGAAGATTGTTATTATGTCAACACTAATTCTCAATCTTTTTGTCTTCCTCTTTCCAGTGGTCTGCTACTCTGCCTATTCTTGTCCATGGTCTACANCTACAGTCGGCTGGTCGCCCTTGAACAGTTCGCCCGACATCTCTCAGCGACACATTCCGGTTCGACCACCCAGTCGGATACGTCCGGATTTCAGCCGGATCTTCTCCTCACACCCACTGGTTTCCAACTTAGCGAATCAGCACGTAATAGGATACGGTCGATGAAAGACTTAACTCAAGGCATGTCCCAGACTTTGACCCAGGTTAGTACTTATACCTCTGTTGTCTTCAGTCTTACATGCTAGGCCTATTTTCTACGTGAGCTAAAGTTACTACATTTTCAAAGTTTTCTTGTGGAAAATGCTTATAATCTGCCAACAGCCAAATAGTGAATCGTTTTGAGCCTGTTTCCATGGTAAGTAGTATCTGAATGACTGAAAAATTTTTGTCCGATATTTCTTTCTGTGATATCAGTGAAGTGGCTGTAGCAAGTGTCAGTATTAATCAGTTTTATGTTCCTAAGCGGTCTTTCCCCAGAGTTTGTTATATATATATATATATATATATATAAANTATATAAAATTGATGTTTATTTGTTCGCCGAGCATGGCAATTGTAGTGCAAACGTTTCATCACTAATCGAGGTGAAATTATCAATGAAGTAACTGGAGTCGAAGTTAGCGTGGACCCCTGTCGCATGCCGTGGTCCTGCGCGCCCTGTTGAATCGTGCGTTCCCAACGTTGGATGATGCCACAAATTTGAAGTTACTGCTTGATCGCTTCATAGAAAGCCTACTAGAGGACTTGCGGGAGGAGGCATGCATAATTAATGCTGAGAAAACCATGAATGCATTTAAACTGGAGGATGTCATGAAGGATTTCATCTGGAATAAAATCACCTGTCCAGTCAACCGAAGACTCGAATGCCAGCCCATTGGAAGTACGGCGACTCTCAAGATATTAACGGAAGTGTCAGCAATCCGAACCCATTCCGACCAGGGAACTCTCAAGAATGCGATTTTGAGCTCGAAGATCCAGAATGCTGGCCTAAAAATTGCCCCGAAACACCGAGCGAATGGTCCATGAGAGAACCCCTCATGTCGTTCGAATCGGTGTCCCCAGACAAGACCCTCTCCGGAATAGCTGAACGCTGTTCAATCCAGACCCATATGGAGATGAGGAATCAGAAAGTGCCATGTTTGTCCGACACATGTGTTGCTGTGTATATGACGGAACCCCAGTCAACCGAGTCAGTAGAAGTCTCGAATACGGCAGTGACAACTGTTGACGAACGCGAGCCGCAAGTTTACAGCGCAGCAAGTCGAACTTTTTCTATTGAGAACATGACGGACAACCTAAATTTTGCCAGATCGCAGAACAAAACCGTCAGCAAGTCAAGAATGCCGGTGAAAAGGAGTGCACTTCTAAAAGTGCCGGAGGCAGAATACAAGTACCGTTGAAGGCCGTATCGGTGACCCTGAAGCAGCGAAGTTACATCCTAGATGGCGAGGTTCATGTAGAATCCGGATAAAGAAGATCCCAATGAACATGTTGCACTAGATAAGTGACGACAGAGGCATGTATCGAAGTGACCACGATAAGTGGTGCCGGGATCGAAGCCGTACGTCAAGAAGTCAGAAATCAACCTACTGGTCATGTCCCTAAAAATCAATCATGAAGCCACAAGAAGTTATCAGCCAAATACAGACCCGAAAGAAAGACGTCATCGCTCGCTGCATGCAGAGTTCATTTTTGCCGGGGGGGGGAGTGTTGTGAGAAACTACTCATTTGTGAGTGGTAGGTAACTTTCAATGATCAAAAATATAACATGACCACCGAGGGCCAAATGATGTGTTTAAAAGAATAACTACCGACTGCCCTGTGCATTATTCGATGTGCCGCCAGGAATGGCGACGGTATGTTTTGTGTTATGTATGACAAATTGGTGATATCCCATCAAAAATCCTTAATAAACGTATATCCTCGACCAACACCACCTTCTGGAATTATAACACTGGGAGATCAAGTGACTTGAAATCTATCACTAAGAGGAGTTATTTGCTATCAGTTTAGTGTTGTTCCCAGACATGATTTGTGTCAGTGACTTCTTTGTTTCTGGGCCACTTCCCCTATGTAAGTGTGACTCGGCTTGGGGGCGGGATTCATGAAGAATTTTGGGACTGTAGTAAACGTCAGCATCCTCGGTACCGACTGAAAAATACTGTAATCTCATTGCTTTAATTTGGTGGGTCAGTTCCACACACGTCACGATACTTTCTGAGTAGTGACTGTTAACTTTAGCGCTCATATGGGATATCTGGAGGCATCACAGAGGCACTTATGCGGCCCACCTGCACTCCCAGTCGGTCGGATGAACGAGAGATCGCCTTCAACTTTACGCAGATCACATATTGTCCCTATCCAGTACTAACTTCTTCCACAATAAACCATGTCGCCTTGTATGAAAACCTTTTACTTTCCTCAATGATAAATTCCAATGCATGACATTCGGATTAGCTGTCGCCGCCAGTGATGCATTCAAGGCTGTCGCTCTCGCTGATCAGCACTGAAGGCTACGGATCGTGCTCTGTTACGATCCAGATTCTACCTATGCCTGATAGACCACCGACAAGACCCCTGTAAACGGATGCTCACACTATACTATAAGCCAAACTTCAGACTGGCTTTTGAAGGGGGACTATCAGCACCTCTTAGCTCAGCCACCCACAAAACGATTGGAAGCTATTCAGATATCGGTTGGTACGAGGATGGATTTTGCAACATGACTTAAGCACAAAATATCAATCTCCTCGACCTCATCTGCCCTGCTGGACGCTCGCAGTAGGCGGGACTGGCTGTCAACTGGTCCGGTATCATCTTTTTGCATTTAGAGAGTGCAAAGAGCATACCGCTCACTTCCGTGCGTTTGGACAGACAAACGATTACGTCAGTGTTTTGAACCAAGCCGCCCTTCTCCAGGTGCGCATTCCTTGGTAACCTTTTAGAGACCACTTAGGATGTGCTCTAGTAATTTGTACTTGACGAACTTGAACGGAGGTGACGAAATCGGTCACCCTTGACGTACACCACTGCTGGTGGCGAAAGAGCTTTTAGTTCGCTACAGATCTTCGTTTGACCAGAAGTCTGAGCACAGTAACCTCGGTAAGTTAGCATTCTTCTGATGCAATCGTTTGCGAAGACGGGAGCCTCGCGATTCATATGACGCGACGTAAAGTTTTGATCAATAGGTCCGTTGTTGTTATTCCCGGACACTTCATCATAAATTCAACAGATGTCTAAGTACGACGTAATTTTACCCCTTGATGAATCTTGGGATCAAAATTATCCTGCGTTTCCTTGACCGGTTTTTGTCCAGCACTCTCTTTGATCTAACCAGTAATGTGCGTTAGATTGATGTTCTCTAATTCCCTTACAGTTCGAGTTCGATAACTGTGACTCGGACCTCAATATCTACCCCGCGCTTGTGCAAGGGGCACACGCACTGGCTTTTTGTCTCAAGTGATGTTCTGCTATTCCAGTCAGCGATTTGAATACTATCTGCGGTGTTCAGGTTCTCAGCCTGCTTACAACCCACCACCGATAGAGCACGAAGCACCTCGCTGTCCAGAAATACCGTAGCTTGCTGAGCAAATCTGATATCGAGTAAAGTATGGAGACCTCTGAAAGTGTTCTGCGATGTGTCGTCCGCAATGGCACACAGTTTTTGATCGACTGCACACCTTTAAACCGTGCACAGCTAAGTGTTAGATAGCTTGTCGGCGGGTGACTATGCACATGGAACTCCCTACCAGCTCACGTGGTCTGTGCCCGAACATTAGTATCTTTCAAGGATCAGCTTGATGATGCTCTGGCAAACATTACGTTTCAACACCCAACTACATAATATATTCTCCTGTGCTCGTCAAAACATTACCTTACCACTTTACTTTCATGGACTAACTGTGATATTGTGAATCGTGATCCGAACCAAAGTGTAAACATCCTATGGGATTTGAAAAAGCGAAGTCTTTGTAAGTTATGTCCCATAATAAAAATTTGAATTTAATACGTCCTTCTAATGGATTATGTTTTGCCATGACACTCAGATTTCCGTTGTGTTGTACTTAGAATCTGAATATAAGTATTTTATCTGGCTTGTACATCAGAATTTCATGACTGCAATAAAAACGTCGTAATTTTCCGATAGCTTCCGTTTATGGCTTACTAGTTCGACTAATTTTCCCCTCGCTGCCTGTGCAGTCAGCGACACGTTGAACGCATTCTCATAGTGAAATCGTTTTTAACAAATTTGAAGGTTCGGACATAATTCGTTATTCCTCTTTTACCTTAGATTTGAAATGCAACCTCTTCGAAATAGGGCGATTTTCTCCTTTTAAACACGTCGTCAACAGTAACCATTCAGGCATTGTTAGAATTAACTTAGCAACCTGGCCATAGTGAATCAAATGGAGTTGACCTTAGATCCGGTCACGCTCCCGGATTGCCGATGCGGATGAAGTGGCTGTCGGCAATGGTAACAGCTAATCGTGTGAACGGCTACGGACAATGAACTTACCTGGTCCACCAAAGTGGGGTCGGGGTACCATACTAAAAACAAGTAACTGCTATTCGAGTCAAAAGTTTCGATAAATATGCTTTGTGGCAAAAACAGGCATCTCTTTGGCGCTCCCAAACCAATGCCATCGATTGACCAACACAGAAATTTCAAAACATCCTATAACATCGTTCTGTCAATAAACACGAAACTGATCAGAATTTTTCCATTATCCAATCCATCGCGAGCACACTACGTTTGAACGGAAGGGATGATTCATATTGACAGGGTAGTTAAAAATTCGATACATTTTACCGAACTCGTCCGGGTTACATACTGGACTATTTTGCATTGGTGATGGTGGCGATGTAAGTTGTATTCTTCATTACGAGGTTTGAAAACTGTCACAGTCGTTTCTCATTGTTGGTATTTAGGCTACCTAAAATTATGCTTATCGTGTTTGGGCTTTATGTGTTGCAACAGTTTCCGTGCAAGGGCTTAGTTGCTTAGTGATTGTCCATACAGTGCATTCCGTTGACTAAGTGGTCTATCTGCATCATTGGTGACCGTATTTGAATGAGCACTAAAGAAAAAGAATGACTTGAAAAAACAATCCTGTGATAACAGCTTTTTGTGTCGCTGTATAAACTGGTGAATATGTCTGTTCTGATTTACCAGTCGAGATGCATCGCGGCGTTCGAATTCACGAAAATGGTTCTTGAGGGATGGACTGCCCCGAATTATCATTGATATTGAAGCTCCATTCACTGAATTCACACGAAGACGGAACTACCTTCGGGATCACGTGGAAAATTTACACAGACTCTCGGTTTGGTTGAAGTTGGACAGTGCATTTCTTGTATTCGTGTTTCTCGCACGTTGTTCATATCTACCACGAAAACCCAGTGTATTTCATGGTAAACAAGTTGTGATGTTCAGGGGATACACGAAATACCCCAAGATATTACGAGCTTGTTGCAACTTTTGTTGATTTAGTGTAACTACTCATGAGTAGTGTTAAATTACTTTAGAGAATCTTATCTCTGGTATAAAAAAAGGCTTCCCTGCTGTTGAGATGGTAGCGCTGCATTGTATTTGTTTACTCCACTGGGTAATTTCCTTTTCGAGTTGTCAAATAAGTATCTGTTTCCGAATGCTCTTATTTATGTTGGTTTGCTCACCGAGTTTTTTGGTTTGATTGCAATCGTTTCATCACTAAACAAGGTGACGTTGTCCGCTCACTGATCGCTAAGTCGATCGCACTGTATCAGGCAACTTTCCCTAGACCTTTGAGGTTGTTTACAATGAACAATTTGTCACTTTGGACACGGCAACAGATTTGCTTTTGTCTTGCGCGCCGCTACATTTAAACTGGTGAGGCTCTCATGTGGTTTGCCACTGTAAGTCCCGGAACTTAAGTTATCGGCTTCCATGACTGTACAACGGATGCTCATGACTATGGTCTTTACGCTGTCTGTTGCTCATCACACGGAAGTGTGCATCAAAAACTCCCGAATAATAGTGTCGGCTTATTTTCGATTACTTGCTTGTTTTACTTGGACCCCTTTTTCATCCGTTACTAACGTAGAATTCTCCATCTCCGAGATCAAATATTATTTGGCTTCACTTTTTACATAATTTCAGCACATGTAAACTTTGATTCCCTTCTAATTTACACATTTACTCCATATTTGTAATGGTCTTCAGGATGCGTTTCTCCATCAAATGCTGTTCAGATATGGTTACAGCAACTCATCTATGATTCTATTCGTTTTTGTCTGCAGATGCAACAAGTTATGTCGAAAGTGAAACAGAGCCTCGAGGTTCTGGAGAACGCATACCTCGTAAATGCCTTCAATGGAAAAACGGAGGAAGAAGTAACATCATCTGCTGTCCCCCAAGATTGCCCGCAGGTGTCCCCGCCCGGAACACAGTATCCTACTACTACATAAACGATGACTACCTGTGGCACTGCACCTCATATTTCCACTCGTTCATTGCCAAGTGGCAAGTGAATTACGGACTCCTGTCCGAGTTATGCATTCATTCAGTACAACTGATGCAATGACCATCGTGAGTCGTCTGTTTAGCCCCAAACGATTGCCAGTCATTCGAGTACAATCTCAAGTGAATCAAGAACGCACTCTTATCAGTTAATGATCACGTCCTGATTTGCGCACCTCGTCTCACTTACTCATCCTGTTGGGCTTTCCTTCCCGCACTATCTCGATGTCCCTTTTTCTTCATTTACTTTATCCTTTCTTATCCTCCCCTCGAACATCATCCACTGTTTCCCATCCGTTTTTTCCTGTTGAGTCGCCTACGGGCGTCTTTCGTCATTTGTTCCATCATGGACAAGCTGGTACGGAGAAAAATCGCCTGTCCCATCCCGATCTATATACACTCAGGTGTCTTCGAATAACTTGGTGATATTTATTTCCATTCCATCGCCACACATCCTTTTGAAGTTCCGGTATGGGCGTGTGTAAGAATAAGTTCATGGGGGTTAGGTTCCTTGAGTGCAAGATAGGAGACCATTTCCACGCTTTTTCCTACCTGTTCGGATAGGTTTACTCGGTTTATGGTTCCTTATATACTACTAGAAAGAGGACCATGGCGGGATTGGCGTAACGATTTATATAATGTGAGTAACGCTGTGCAGAAAGAACCCGTATATCGTTTTCGGATAGGAATGAAGTGGCTGGAAGAAATGGATCTCAAAGTACTTACTTTTTACCTTATGGTGGTCAGCACCGGGGAGAGAACAAGTCGACTTCATGGATATCCCAAATTGCTGCTGCCCATGCTCGGCGGTCTGTGGCAAGATCAGCGCAGATTGTGGTCCAACTTGACTTCCATTGGCATTGTCCTTAGCCGGAACAGAAACCAAGGTTTACTGTGTCGACAGCACTCGTTTGGGCATGAAAACTGTGCCAAGGCAGCTTTTACAGGGTCGTTATCAGATTGGCGATGTCGATTAAACTCGGCTAAGCTGAGTAATCTGTCAGGCCAAACCTCTCGACGATGTGCTACGTGGCCTCTTCTTGTGTGCAAGTTCGAGCGTTCTCTAGCTGAACAGGGTCCAAGCATCCCTGATGAGTATGGAGTCACTGCCTGGACCGTTGAATCGTGTAAGCTACTTCGTCCGACCAACGTGTTAGTACCGCAATCATAAGTGATACACCGACTCGCCCAAAGATGAGCTCGCGGTTACCCTCAACCTAGCATGGCCCGTCCATCGAGCAGTTTGCCGGGGTGTGGCCGCTGTTGCATGCAGACAGCTTCTTGGAGCCACAGGTGAGAGCGGGGCACCTGGTGAAGACCAACCGACGGAGGATGCACCGAAAGGGTCGACAGCCCTCCCAGTCAGAGGTATTCCTACCGGGTACTACATACGCCCCATGAGCTACGTACGCGTGTGGACTAAGTATGTCTATTGCTGTGGAGTTGGTCATCCTATTTTATACCAGGGACTGGGAGAGGAGTATGGTTGCATGCAATGTTCTTCAACTGAGCTTTTAGTGAAACCCTTTGCAGGTCATTGATTACTTCAAACACTGCGTCGACAGTCTTCTTAAAATTTCGCACCTACCGAAAAATGCGTATTTCAAACGTCTAAATCCAGATTGTATGCCAAAAAATCATAGGACAATAGTTTTTCCAAAAAAGAGAACGTTCCATCATTTGTATTGCGACTTTCTATAGAAAAGACAATCAGCAGTATACAGCCTAAAATCGATTTTTAGTTCGAAAACTAACTGACAGTATAAGTATGGCGAAAGTTAGGTGCACCACTCACGTAAATCGATCGAGCTTCACAAATCGTGCAGTAATCATCAACTGATTTCCGACTGTATGTCTTACAGTTTTGAGACTGATTCTCACAACAGGAAACTGGTATTAATTTATTGTATATTAGACCTGAGTCGCATCATATCTTCTGGGTATTTTAACATAAAAATATATTGCACTTTGGAGTCGTACCAAGTACCTTACTAATTCCCATTGCGAACGTTTATGCAATATAAGTTGAATACTATGGACTGTTAGGAAGGCGAAAACTGCGCGCCTAGGTTGCAGACGAATTACCTGATCCGATGAACAGGCATAAATGAAATTAGATCGAATGTATTTGGCTCGCCTGCGAAAAAGATACTGTGTGTTCAGTATTGATCCCACAATAGTGTTAGCTCGATGGGCGTTATCCGCCCATTCCGCAATGCCCCTGAACGCAGTTCGATCGTAACCTGTATAACTTCGTCATTGTGTGTTAGGTGAGAGTATATCGTATACTTTATCCCAACCATTTGGGTTACCAATTGACAATCATGTTGTTCAGTGTACTAGGATGACTGAACTGATCATAAAAAATGGTTGGAAGATTTCCATAATCATTTTCTCTTTCTCCGCAAGAATACTATCCAGATGGAGAGACTTCAACGAGAGTCAGCGATTTATTGAGCACATGGCACCATGGACTAGAATAACAGGTAAAATGGGAGTAGAATACAATACTACGGATGGCTTGTCTGAAATCGGTAACGACACCGCCAATATTTGTGGTGAAATCGTCTCGCAGGATGGATACGGAAACAACAGCTGGACGGAAAATAGTAGAAATGCATTTCTACAGAAAAATACGAAAAAATGTCGGGTCATGGAACAGCGTCTGATCACCCCGATTTACTTCTGAAGGAAATTCCGCGCCTAAAACAAAGGAAAATATAAACTGGCTAAAGCGATGTAAAGATTGATGGGACCTGAAACACAACACCAATTAAATTTGTCATCGAGTTAACAATAATTTACCTAGTTCTACCCTGCTGATCATCAACTGCGATTCGGAAACATTAAACTGAAAGTAGATGTGAGCTTAAACTGTAAATTAACATCTAGGTTAGTCTACCAAGACTTTTAAACGGATTCAGTCAAAACTCGATTCTGCTTGCATTGAAATTGACAAACAGACCCGCAAAATTTACTTCGTTAATTCGATCACTGTGTGGGTAGGTTCCTACGACAGTAACGACAACACTTTCCATGCGAGCAACCTGCAGTTTTATTCTCGGATGGGTTGGTACATGTACACTATTGATGGGTTCTAACACGAGCACAACTTAAGTCAGTACCATTTCAACTTCAAGGTGGTGGTGGCCCGGTGGTAACGTCACCAATTATCACCCCGGAGGACGAGTGTTCGAATCTCACCACCACCGCCTGACTTTCCCCATTTGTGTGTTGTATGGCAGCCCTTTGATTGGCCGCTTCTCCTTCCTGAAAATTGTATCTCTGTATATTCAATAAAAGGAAGTAAAATGAAAAATAAAAGTGAAACCAACCCATCGCATTCTACTAGGAACCCAACAAAGTGATTGGTTATTCTGCCATCACACGTCACCGATGAGACGGGGTTATCAAAACCCCGTCCAGTTGGGGTAATTTAATTTCCCCATAGTGTGTTAGTGAGTTACCGAACGAGGATAAAAGCCGGGTACGTCAAAATGGATCGATAAGTCGGTCACCATTCTCAGACGTGAATGTTGGAATGAATCATTGCATGGGCAGTCCAGGCCCTCAGTAGCCTTGTGGGTTTGTTCCATTGGGTCAGAGATGCTCTCAACTAACACCGATTCATCGGA